AGCAGGAAATTGTTCTGCAGGTTTTATTTAACAAGGCAACCCAACTCAGAGCTTTTCCACCCAGCCTTCCCCTCCCCTCTGCGCCACGGGTTGCCCGCGTGACCCTCCACATCTCGCTCCAGCCCTGTTTTCCCTTTCTCCCTCCACGCCAGGAGCCGCAGCCGTGGGTCCGTCCCAGGGAAGACCCCAGGGCCCTGCAATTCCCCACATCGCGCATGGCCAGCAGAGACGTGCTGACGTGGCGATCCCAAAGAGCTGCCTGCGGAGGAGGAAGACGCCGGGAGCTGGCTACGCAGACATGGTTTTGGACCTCCGTCTCTGGGGAAAGCAAAGCCGTCGAAGCCAGGACAACGGAGAAGCGCTTCTGCCCGCACAGCCTCCTCCCGAGGGAAAGCACCTGCAAAACCCTCGGGTTTCTTGTTTGCTTTTCTGTAACTCCTAATTGTCCCAGCACGAGTCTGGCCAGGTTATAATTTATCCAGGGGCCACCAAACAGCATTAAAATACATCAGTGTCTTAGGGGGAGAGGAACCAGATCCTAAAACTCATCCATCCAATCACATGCGGTAATCACCAGACTACAGCGGGACGTCTCCCTCTAGAAAGGCCCTGGGAAGACGCGGTGGTGCAACCCCCCCAGGAGGAGCGCTATTTCTGGGTACGGTTTCTGAATTTTGACTGGGCTCAGGCAGGAGGCCTAAAACATTTAGAAGTGCCCTGAAACACTTAGACCCTCATATTTTTCAGCTAAAATTTTGAATTCAGATGTTTCAGCTCTATTCATACCCTGGTCCCAAAAAAAAGTTCCTTTCTTTTTTTTTGGCCCCAGCTCACTGTCCCACCAAGCCTACCTACATTTATAAAATGGGGTTAGTGGCAATTCCCCACCTCCCAGGACTGCTGCACAGATAACAACATAAATACGTTTGGAGAGGCTCAATTACCACGGTGACATGAGCCGGACAGACAGCTTTGCCGGTACAGCGCACCAGTGAGTGAACAAATCGAGTGCGATATAATCATTTATCTCTGCTGAAAGAGGCTGCCAAGCAGAGAGAGGAGAAAGCTAATTGGAAGGGGGCAGTTAAAAAGCACAGGTTTATGACAGCAGTTCTGATGGAGGTAAGAGAGCACCGCACTGAACGACCGAGCGCTACTTAACAAGAAATTGCACAGCCAAGCAAATTTTGGCCACTTCTCAGCTAGATTCGACTATGTGTGGAAGAGAGCAAAAGCAATCCAAAGACCAATGCAACGCTTATTCAGCTTGCTCTTGCTGGGCCACCACCGCCAAGACAGCAGAGGAGAAGGATTATAGACACAGAGCTGCAGGGAATGTCCCAGCCTCCTCCTAAGAGGACCCACTCTGGGCCGCCTCTGCGCTGCCGCTGTCCCAGGGCTGCGCAAGACCAAAGAGCTAGCAACTTATTTACTAGGTATCCGAAAGTTACCTGCATTTTACTATTTAATTGTACCACCTAGCCCAGTTTGTCTATCTGGGCTATCTGAATAGGCAGTTCTAAAAAAAAAAATAAAAATTAAAGATAACAAGAAAAAAAATCACTGTTTACCCTAGAAACTTTATATTTGATTCTTCTTTATTTTAACATAGTACGAATTATTCTGCAGAAGCACCTAACAAAAAGAAAAAAGGATTTCATGCCCCAAAGCAAGCAAATTTCATCAAAGCAAGCAAATTTCATGTTTATATCCCATGTACTGTTCTAAGATGCAAGTATTTACAGAAATTTCTATAGCAGCTTCTTGAACTTAGGGAATTACTTCAAGACATGAAGTTCATTTATTAGAAACCACTAACATGATTAGGGCACCCTAAAATTCAGAAGATACTGTTTATTCAACAGATACAGAATTTTCTACATATTTTGGATGAGGTTTAGGACAAACTGCAACTTTTTATCAGTTTGTTCAATGTTTGCAGCTGTGCTTATATTGCACAATGTTTGAAAAGCAAAACAGATCAAAGTCTTAAAAAAGAGAGAGATAGAGAGAGAGAGAGAGAGAGAGAAAGAGAGAGAGAGAAAGTAGGAAATCGTGCATAAAAATAAGGGTCCACTAGAGAATTTTTCTATTTACTCTGGGTTTGGTTTCATTACTACTGATGCATTGCTTTTAACATAATTACAATAGACTACACCAGATGCTCCACCTTTTTCCATGTACAGAATGGGTAGTTTAAAATTATTTTGTACAGAGCTGATCCAGCTCATTACCCATGGTCCTACTTAAGAGACCAGCAGGATTACTTTAATGGTTAAAGTAAAGATAGTGCTTATTCAGTTTTATCATAGCATTTTAAAGCAAAAAGGCCCAGGAGGACCAAGATACACATGTAGAAAGATACCTTACACAGCTACAGCCACTCACATGAGCAACCTCACAGATCTGAGCACAGCAAAATCTCTGGTTTGAACTGCATTACTCATGCAATACCTATGTGCTAGGGCTCCCTGGGCTACCGTAGTACTCTAACCTGCCCCCGGTCATATTAAGCGAATTTTGGAAGACATCTGGGGCAAGATGAAAACTTTTTAAATTGCTTCTGTCCTTTGTTATCTCTGTTTCTGCCACATCAGACCGATGGAGTTAGCTTCTTCATTTTGCTTTTTCCTAAAGGCCAGCAGATGACTGCCTGAACCCAAGACAAGGCGCACAGCTCCACGCGAAAGGACGGACACTGCTACAACAGCAAAGTGAGAAGCAGGAAGGAAACTTTGTAAATTGATCAGCTGCAGCCCCTGAGTAAAGCAGCGCTCTCAGAATTCACCTAATCTTCAGGCAATGGTCAGGCACCAAAAATGAGATATTGCTCATCATTTTGCTGGGAAATTAAACAGAACTCTATTTGCATTTCCCAGCTTTCCTTTTTTCCTCAACAGAACAAGTATTTTGCGAAATCTTGTAAAGAGTGAAATAGTGATGCGCTTAAAAGAATCACTCAAAAATGATTCTTACATGAATCATCATCAAACAAGCATTATCCTGAGTCTTGCATGAGTAAATCATAGCTCAGTCTAGAAGACTTGGCGAGTTCCTTCAAATGTGATTTCTAGAGACTTATTCTGCACATAACCCCAGGCAAAGGAATACTGCATACATTCATTCATTGCTGTAATTTCACTTGACAAAGATTTTTGATTCCTGAAACAAGGAAGAGGGAAGATTTATGAAATCTACACTGTGACTCAGCAAGGCTGCTAAATCTCAAAGACAAGGCTGTTAAATCTCATCCAAAACTTTTTTTTTTTTTAACACATGCAAAATCCCAGCAAATTTCAACAGAGTACAAACATTTCTGAAACACTAAAGGGGAAAGTACCCTAGGCGTTAAGCCTGTATTAAGCTTAAAAATCAAAATTTGAGGGAAGGGGAGACACATCGCATGTTTAAAGCTATCAGTATCATACTCTGGCTTTACTAAAGGTAGAAAAAAATAAAGATAGGAAAAAATTTCCTGGTCTAAAATGCATGACCTGAAGTACAAAGTCAACATTTCAATCACTTTGTTAAACCTCTCCACAAACTAGACTGCAATCACAAATACGACCCCTTGGTCTTTGCAACCGAAAGGTTAAATTGTGCAACCGTGCCGAGCTCCTGTGTACAGAGTGGTACAAGTCCTCTCCTAAATCTCCATGAAATGGGGCATTAGGGGAAGCAGTCCTGGCTGGCCTTGAACAAGCCGGCCGCTATCAGCCTCTCCTTAGCCATCCACCTGTGCTGTTCCCCAATAGTGTCCGCCCCCGCACAGATCCTCTCGCAGAGGTGGCACTGATAGCACCTGCCTCAAGAGCGGGCGCACCCTCATCTAAAAGCCAAATAATTTCCTAAGTGGCTTAGCAAAGGAGAAACATTTGCAAAGCACTGATTTGCAAGAAAAGGCACAGCAACGTTAAATGCCAAAGGCAAAAGCCATCATGCCGAAACAGCTAGCTTTTCAGTATAATCTTTTGCCTGTCGCTTCTCTCGACCTAAGAATCCAAGTAATACAATATTTCTGAAAGCTAATTTAGCGTTTTATTTTCAGGATCAGGCTCAGAAGCTGGCTTTAACAACCGGTTTTAAATTAAGACTGGACAAAAGCAGTGGACTCGGTCCTTTTGAGCACCTACCAATGCCTTTAATGAGCTGGCAGTTCGGGAGCTCTACTGGGTCTACTTCCCGTGAAGCATTGAGTCTCTTCCTGCAAGCAAAAAGAGCAGAGTTAACCGCACACAGGCAGTTTTAAAACAACTTACACTCCCAGCATATCTTTATTTTAGCTTTATTGCTTGCCATATCCCAGCAACATATCCTCTGTAAAATATCACACAGCAAAACCCAGTACTGACAACAGCAGTTTCTCCAAATCTCTGCAATGGTTACACAATTTCAGAGATTGATTCTCCTATTCTGAATAGCTATTCATGAACTTGACTTTGTTCATGAGCTTCAGGAACAAGTTTTCATGAACTGATGTCACTCTGTACAGCTAAAACACACAACAAAATGATGTGATCGGTCACACTTGTTCTTCAGGTCTCAGCTGCCTAAATATAGTAGCATTCTGCAGTTAGGACCACTTTTTGCGATGAGGAAAGGGCAACCTTTTACTCCATCCCACTGGCTATTTTTGCTGACTAGGTCACTGGCAATTGCACTTTCTTCATACGTATTCTACATTCAGATTTAGCAAGAGTATTGTTGCAAGGCAGGACTACTCACTTCTTAATGACAAGCAGTACCCGGTATGAGGACTTTCAGCAATTACCCCATTCCTTTATCTTCTCTCCAGCTTCCCACACACAGCATCATCGATGCTTCAGCTGTGCTTGTGACACCCCTGAATACCTGTAGTGTTAGATCTAGGCAGGTACTACTGGACTCGAAGTAGGTATAACGCATATACAGCCAAGTATCTGTTAGCAGACACAAATGGCTATCCACATATTAATTCCTATTTCTCCCTCTCCTCCGTTATGAGATGTGTATGATACTGTATGAAAGGCACCTCAGTACCAGGACCATGGTGTTTGACCGTGGGATCCGCAGTACTGTAAGCAAATACTTGTACTTCCACATAAAAATGTCAAGCAAGTGTACCAGATTTTTTTTCCAAAAGAAAGCTTTAGAAGTAATGTATTCTACTGTTTTGCACCCCTGTCATGCACGCGTTTTGAGGATGTACTTTCTCCAAGCATAGGCAATTCTGTATTTAAAGATCTTGTACCAAAATCTAGCCATGTTTATGCTATAGTTTTAGGCATTAACTTAACAGCAAAATCAGTCTGTGGCACGAGAAATATGTGATATGGCTGAGCACTGTATAGCATTTAAGTCCTGCACTTTTTTAATGACCTTATTTATAAATTCTAAATTGATTCAATACTGTATCTTTGACATATAGGAGCTATCAGATTTAACATAAGGCAAGGAAAAAAAAAAAAGGGCAAAAAAGGCAGGGGAGAGCAAGAGAAAGGAGTCAACTTTAACTCTCCCAGGCACTCTTGTCTACCCCAAGGGTCCTGCGAGCAGGTTACTGCCGGCCAGGGCTGGCACACAGCGGGGAAGGGTCTCCCGCGCTCGCCCC